GGAAGGAGTCAAATCCATTATGGGCCTCCAAACAAAAAGGTGCCCAATTTCCCTTGCCAGCAACTCAGATTCCGAGCTTAATAATGACTTGAACATATTTTTTCATCGTTTTAACTCACATGATTTTAATGAAGAACTGTCTGTGTACGAGAAAGCTTCTCCCCAACAATTGGAGATACATATTGATAAAGACTGTGTTTTTAAACTCTTCAGGGGAGTGAAAGAAAGGAAAAGTCCCGGCCCAGATAATATCAGTGGGCGACTCCTTAAGAACTGTGCAGAGCCATTGGCTGACATTTTTTCCTTTATTTTTATGAAGTCCTTGCAACTACAGAGAGTCCCATGCCTTTGGAAAGACTCTGTAATTGTACCTGTACCCAAGAAAAAAACACCAAAATCTTTTAATGACTTTCGGCCAGTAGCCCTCTGTGGAGGCCATTTTAATCATGATAACTTTAGTTTCAGAAGTGTGGTTTAAGTTTGTGTTAATAGAGTATATTTTTTGTGTTGTAAGAAATAAGTATTCATTTATGAGAAGTACCTGATTTGACATGGAAACCTTTATGGTGAATAATGGATTTATTTGGGCATATTTTGGCAGGTATTTTGTGTTATGGGTGGAGCCGAGTTATTAATTTGGGTGCGATGCACAGGTGGAGAGAAAAAAGGTAGATCGTCGCAAATGTTTTTTGATTGTGAACTTTTGTTTTGAGTTTTGATATATTCATTTTGGATCTGTTCTGTATACAAGTGGAATTACGAATAAAATAAGAAATCAAGTGAAACAACGGATCTGTGAGTATATTAAAGTGGACACGCATCAGGAACGAACAGGTTGGCTCCTATGACACAAGTGACAATTTTTATATGACACACAAGAAAAAATTGCCACTACACCCTCACTTCTCTTGTTATGAAGGCTTTTGAGAAGATTGTTAAGAATTACATTTTTGGTGCAACTCAGGAAAAACTGGACCCGCTTCAATTCGCTTATAGGGCAGGTAGGGGGGTTGATGATGCTGTAGGCACCTTACTTTACATGGTCCAGAGTCACCTGGATGGTGCAAAAACTTCTGCACGGTTGCTTTTTGTTGACTTTTCTTCCGCTTTTAATTGTATCCAACCTCACATTTTAGCAGATCGACTTTCAAGCATCTTTAACATTGATTCTAGTTTAATATGTTGGCTGATTGACTTTTTAACTGATAGATCTCAGAAGGTCAGAGTAAATGGGGTTTTATCGGATGTTCTTTTGTCTTCAACTGGCTCTCCCCAGGGCTGTGTCCTTTCACCACTATTATTTGTATTATATATAAATGACTGTCAATGTCATTAAGATGGCAGACAAGTAATCAAGTTTGCAGATGACTCGGTAGTTGTGTCTTTACTTGGTGAGCAGGAGTCTGACCATGGTCCAGTAGTGGCAGACTTCGCTGAGTGGTGCAAACGCTCCTTTTTTAGAAATAAATGTCTCTAAAACCAAGGCGATGATCTTTAATTTTAGGAGGAAGCCTTCACCTGTTACCCCCACCTCAATTAATGGGCAGGCTGTTAAGGTGGTGAATCAATTGAAATACCTGGGGACAATCATTGACAACAACCTCACATTCGAAGCAAACACAGATGCTGTTTGTGCAAAGGCACATCAGCGTATGTACTTTTATCAAAAACTGAGGAATTTTAATGTTGATCGTGTTTTTATGAGAATGTTTTATTCTTGTTTTATTGAGTCTGTTTTAACCTTCTCTTTTATTTGTTGGTTTGGGTCTGTCAATCTGAAAAATAGGAAGGTTGGAGCAAATTGTGAGAATGTGCAGTAAAATTGCTGGCTCTAGTTTTGATGATCTCTCCCTCTTATACAGAGTCAGAGCAACAAAAAGAGCACAGGCTATCCTTGGGGACTGCACCCACCCCCTTAACACCGAGTACAAGCTGCTGCCATCCGGTTGCAGATATACTGTGCCCAGATGCAGGACTAACAGACTTAAAAACACCTTTGTCCCTGGTACCATTGTTCTCCTCAACAATATAATGTAACCCCCCCTTTGGTGTGTGTAATTTATTGTTGTGTGTATTTCAGACTCACTGCTGGCTGTAAAGCAAATTGCCCTTCGGGGATAATAAAGTTTACCTTGACCTTGACCTTTTTGTGTTACCACCACTTGGCAAAATATTACAAGAAGTAATAACCCCTGACTGACATTGTGTAAAAGAAACTGTATAATTATGAATGTTCAATGTGTCTTGAGAATCATATAAATCCACTATTACTAAGCCCTCCATTTTCTTAACTATCACTCCAATTATTTCCATGATGGTGAAAGAGATAAAACTTGAAGTCAGTATGAAATATTTTAAAATAATGATTGCACTCAGTGAATGTCTTTCAAACCAGCTGTTGGCAGTTTTCAAGCTCCCCCTCTAATTTTAAAGCAGATCCCATATGGCTCCCTGAAAAAGTCCAAACAGTCCTCAAACACTGTCACCTTCACAAACTGCAGTTGCTCGGTCTCTCTGATTGAATCTAAAAAATGTATTTCTATAATAAAAATCACAACATATTTTAGTATAATTTGAAACATTTCAAAACACGAGCTCTGTTATTTCAAACCTTTTATTAAGAGTTCTGTTTTTAACACTTTGTCATTATTTTTTATTGTTGTGTTTATTAATTTATTTCTTCGATATCTGACTATCATCCTGCAACTTCCATTTCCAAAATCACGTCAGCTGCTTTTCATGTATGATAAACTTTTACAGGCCGACTTTCAATGTACTTTATTGCTTTTGATATAAAACAATAAAGATTAAAAACTGCACGTACCAGCTTACAAATAAAATACTTTGTTCAGTCATGTTGAAGTTTATCCAAGGTCATTACACTCATGAAGTCATAAAGACTTCCCTGATTTGTGACTTGAGACATTACAAGCTATTCAGATAGTTTTCAACAAAACCATTTGGATTCTGCGGTCTCCTAACTAAACCCAAAACAAAAGAAAAACACACATACACACATTGGTGGAAAAATGGCTATGCCCACATGTACATTTAAAATAGCTTCATATGTTGATTTCAATATCTAGAACACTAGTTAAAAAAAATACTGCACCACATTGTCAAATGTTTTAGGGGTCCAGGTCTGAGTCTTCTCCAGACTCTACTGTTCTTAAAGTGGGGATTGGGACCCCCTGGGGGGCTTGTGAGGCACTGAAAGGGGGTGGCGTGATGCCTTCCATAACCAAATAAAAATGTTTAGTGATCTAAAATTGTCTATTTTAACCATTATTGTGAAAAAACATACAAACAGTAGTTTAATTTTAAGAACAACTATAGTGGCAAAGTAAGATTTATGCTGAAAAGAAAGTTATGGTTAAAAAAATCCTTTAAATTTAAGTTTTCACCAGAGGTGTAAAGAGTACTAATATATTCTACTATCTAAAAGTACTGTTACTTCAATGAAATTTTACTTAAGTACAAGAAAAAATACCAGATTAAAAATGTACTCAAGTAAAAGTTTAAAATAACTTGTTTAAAATGTACTTTAAGTAAAAGTTACTTAGTTACTTTTTTTAAACAACGCATCTCTCGTGTCGTGAACGGACGAGATCAGGACGAGAGGAAATTAATCTCAAAGTTTTTTTAATTAAAGGCAAATCTTAAAAAAGATTTATCTTTTCAGATAAACATTTTCTTATAGCCTAAAAACAAAATATACATAATGATGGATAAATAATCAAGGATTATATGTTCAAGTAATCAGCTGTTTTTATGAAGGGAAATGTTTAAACTATTTAAGAAAATACTAAAAGGATCTTTGTCTCAATCATGAGCAGTGTAAAGAGTATTTTAGTGTTTTTAGTTTTATTATTCTGAGGCTGGTTAGTCTCAAAGACAGCCTCAAAGGCTGACTTAGCTGCAACTAAACCTGAGATGAAAGATAATCCATTTATTGTTTTAAAATTAGCCTTTATGAGCTTAAATATTAGATGTCTTAGTCACTGTTTGTTTACCTATTAGCTACTGAAGCTTCTGACTAATTCTGTTTGGTTTTAAGTATTTATTTTCACAAGTCTCAGATGTGTTAAGTTGCAGCAGCTTATAACACCCAACTTCCTCATACGTCTGTTTCAAAATAAAGGCACATCACAGAGATGTCAATAAGGGACTTTTATTGTGAAAAACTTTCCGGAACTAAATGTGTTTATCGCTCTAAGCTGCAGCGGCGATTGTAGTCGCGAACGCTGCAGTGAGAAAAAGCATCCTCAGCCACTTCTTTGCCCAAGAGTAAGAACCACAGCCAACTTATTTTAATCATGTTGGACTTAAGACAATGAGACATCAGTTTATAAACACCTTCAGCAGGTAGACCCGCTGTAGTGGAGGTGCTTATCCGTGCTGCACTTTACTGAAGTGGCACCGAGCCAAGAAAAGTCTCTCTGTCTGTCTCTCTGTCTGTCTCTCTGTCTCTCGTCACTCCGGTGCGATGAGGGTCATCATCATTCATAACAGGCCTATTTTCTTTTTTACTCAGTAACGGATGTGATTTAAAATGTAGCTAATTACAATACTTAACAGAAATCCTACTTAAGTAAAAGTAAAAGTACAGATTTTAAAAACGACTTAAAAAGTAGTAAGTACACCAAAAAACTACTCAATTACAGTAACGCGAGTAAATGTAATTTGTTACTTTACACCTCTGGTTTTCACAGTAAAACAATGTGCTCGTGCATGAAGTGTACCGGAAAAATCCCAAATATAGCCACTGATAGGCTGTCTTATTATTGTGCTCCCTTTTTCAAATACATTTCTTTTTTTCAGTTAACAGCCACATTAAAAATCTAAATAGAACCACATAAATCATTTCGTTTTCGTATGTTCGTTAAACTTAGAAGACTGCCTGATAATAGATGTGGGCTGCATTAATAACAGGAAATGTGGTAGGCTAGTCTATATGGTTTAGGACACGACGTAAGCTGTCTGTCAATATAATAGTTTGGTACCAGTAGAAGAAGACACATCCTCCACTACAGGTTACTGGTTACTGGTTTCATTATGTGACCGCAAGCCGTCTGTAAGTTATCTTTCTTTGTTTGCAACCTAAGCTGAGTGTTTTATTCATGCAGTTTCAAACTGATTATAGGCGAATAAGACTTTTATTTAATATCTGCGGATATTTATTTGTGTTTTATTTGTAAGGAGTTTATTGGCTGTTATTTCCCACCCGTATTAAATGTGTGGATATCTAGTTAAGAATTATTGTATGAAATGTAAGATAGTGGCAAATCTTCTATCCGTGTTACCCCTTGATTAATTTACGCAAACGTCACGTAAACTAGAACACTGTAAGCGCAACAATGTCTGAACGATAAGTGGGGTAAGTATTTCACTCTCGTTTGGATTTGCACTTCTAATTCCGTTTGCAGACTCTCTGTGCGTTATTACAACAGGAATCATACAACTTTTTTGACTCATGATGGGGAGTTCAAGTAGCACAGGCACAAATAACAGAAGCATATTGAATTCTTGAGAAACGAGCTACTGCTGTCAAATGAGCCGGCGTTCGTAACAGCACCTTCAGTTGAGCCCGCGTTTGATTTTTGCTGCGCATTTATCAGCGCCTTAAGTTAAACAAGACGAGAGTCGTGCGGACCCATGTCACACTGGGCACAGTGAATTTAACACTTAAAAATAAAAGCACGGCAAAAGAGAACAGACAGACAGTCTACCGACGGTGTGTCTGACGGAAATACAGTAGACAGACAGACAGACTGTCGGGCTTTTATTTTGAAGTGTTAACTTTCAGCCCAGTGTGACATGGGTATCTTGCTGTTGTGAACGCCGGCTCACTTGACAACGGTAGCTGACCAGTGGAGCGATAACGCCTGGATGTGCCAACCTTTTGAGGATCTTCTCGTGATTTTGTTTGTCCTTGTATCAACGTAATGACACCAAATACTATGTAGGAGGGGAATGACAATGAAGAGGGTGGAATATTCAGGGTAAAGGGTTTATTTTAACACATGCTCCATGTAGCCTACCAGAGATGAGGGTGCATTGTGTAATAAAAAATAGGCTACGTCAATAAAAATAAATATACAAAGGGTTGTTTGGAAAAAAGGTTGACATTGTAACATTAACACAAATGTCTGAAACGGAATATTCTCAGAATAAACTTAGAATTCTGAGATTAAAGTCAGAATTCTGAGATTAAAGTCAGAACTTTATTATTTTCTTTAATGTGTGGCCCTAATCCTCTTCCGTAGATAAGAGTGCATTGTGTTTGTGCTGCGTCATTAAAAAGAATTATAGACTAGGGCTGTTTGGGAAAATAAAGTTGAAATTGTAGCACGTATGTCTGAAATGGAAATGAATCGGTTGTCTGAATAAAAAGTGATATAGTTTTATTCTGTTATCTTCAGATAATGATCCCCAGGAAAAGAAGAAGAAAAGACTTGGCATCAGTAGAGAAGGAACAAAAAGGTAAGGAGAAGAGATACATATGATTCAAATGGCAATCATTGAAATTAAAGCTCCTGTGAGGAATTTTTATCTGGTTGTAAAACAGACTGAAATGAATCCTGAGGCAAATTAATGCTTATTAATGAAGACAAGGAAAATGAGTGACAAGACTGACTCTTACTAAAGAGTACATTTGAATGCCTAAAACTGCTGTCACAAGGTGTTAGACAATGTGATCAACAGCAAGCTGAAGACACAGCACTTTAAAAAAGAAAGTTTTCCACAGAAAATATTCACTAGGATCGATAGATTGTTAAAAGAAAGATGGATGAGATTTTTGTCATGAAACAATAGCCCTGAAACATGATGTACATGCACAGACTAGATTAACTAATGTGTCCACAGGGGGTGCCAAAATCGCCACAAACCAAAAGTTAAGGTTGAGTTAAAGTTACAGTAATCATAAAACATAAAATGTTTAATTTTGAGTAAACATTTAACACAGTATAGTGTACATAATATAACATTAGATAATGTATTATTCATATCTTAATGTTTTATATGTATATCCCGAGAGATTTGCCAAATTTACATACGCTAAATGTACATACTACATTGTAAGGGTAAGTCTTTTTATTTCCTGACAGAGTCACCGAAACTTCACGGTCTGAGTAATCAGGGAGCAACATGTTACCTCAACAGTGTTCTGCAGGTTCTCTTCATGACAACCGAGATTCACGACAGGTTTGACACTGTTTGGTTTGCTAATGTAAAGACCTGGATCAAGACTTTATTGTACATTAAAGTTGTAGTTTTAAAGTTAAACCTTGATATATTTTTTTGTTTTAAGTCTGTAAACTTTAATAACATGAGAAGTTCAACATTATAAGATGGAAAAACCATATTGTTAGGTCAATAAACTTACCACATTTTAACATTGAACTAGTACATTTATTTACTTGTTGACAGCAATACTCCTTCATAAGATTACAATGATTTACTAAACAAACAATAAAAGGGAAGAACATTTTTAGAAGAATGATTTAAATAATTCCCGTTCTTTCTCAAGTTTGGATCAAAACTCCGATACAGATAAGGAGCTGAGAAACCTCTTTGAAAAACTGGAGACAGAACCATGTAGGACAGTAGACATCACAAACAGTTTTGACATTACAGACGGTAAGTTGACCAGTGACCGTCATAAAACATTAATGAGGAGGTGGAGCAGAAGTTCCCTCTGCAGCTGCAAAGTAATGCTTTTGTGGCGTTTCAGTTGAATTTCATGTTTCATTTTTAGTGCATCAACAACGTGATGCTGCTGAATGCCTGGAAATGATTTTACACAAAGTCAGCCCACAGGCCTCCCAGGTGAGCATGTCATTACAAATCAGGATCTTTATGAAGACACATTAATAGATAGGACCAGAAAAAAATCATAAACAGAAACATCTGTGATCCAAATCCTGAAAGAAATATGAACATTTAAACAATTAAAATAAAAAGCCCATTCATATTTTGAACATTTGACAATCATTTCCCATTAATCATAATTATTTACATATTGTTTGTTTACAAAAATATTCATAACATTTCTCTCTAGGTTTTCAAAGGACAGCTGAAATACTCGACAACATGCTCCAAAGGCCACAGCCTCAACACAGAGACGAATCCATTTCTGACTCTTCCACTGTCACTGAAGGATGCTAACAATTCAACCTTCAGTGTGGTGAGCCGATAAAAGTCTGGTTTAGTAGTTATATCCGCTTTTTCTTCTATTATAACTTCCAGTAACACCAAGAGATCCAAAGACTGGCTAACTGTTAATGTTAGCTTACAGAACATGTGCCTGTTCCTTTAAATGAAAAGTTGGCTGGATGCTAACTTTAGCTGTTGTCTGCATGTGGCTAACTGGTTTTCAGCTATGTTGTTTTATCTTAAATTATTAAATATTCCCTGTGTCGTTGTTTATTGTTCTACACAGCATTAAAGCAGTATTTGTGCTCCTTACTCTAAGTGTAATGTCACAGGAAAATGGTTGCAATTTGAATATATTAATATATAATTTGAAAGTGAGATCGGTTAGCCGTTCTTAGCCTACAGTTATGTTTTCCCAGGAGAGTGGCTTTGACAACGTTTTCCAGACAAAATCCTTCATCGGAGACAACCTGGTGTACTGTGAGCAATGTGGAAAGAAAACAGAGGCCACCAGAGTGAGTTAATAAACCAACAGTATCCTGACAAAATTCTGATGTAACTCGTTTAAAGCTTTTATTTAATTTACAATCGTCTATTGAACATAATATGTTTGATGTCAAAATGTGTGTATTTTTTTCAGGAATGTGAGATGGTGGAATTTCCTCGTATTCTGGTTCTACTTCTAAAGAAATTTGACTTTGACAACAACACCATGTCACATTTCAAATCAGACCGCATGGTAGTGATGCCACATACATTACAGAGACAGGCAAGAGGAAGTACACTTAAATGCTTTTCCTTGTGTTTGATTTTGAAAATCATATTATGTAACTGACTGTGTTTGTCACTGTAGAACAAGATGTACACACTGTGTGGGATTGTGAATCACATGGGCAGCCTTAAAGGAGGACACTACACAGCCACCATCCTGTCCAAAGAGGACAACACCTGGTGTGAGTTTAATGACAGTCACGTCAGAAAGGTGAGGTTGAATTGAACTCATCTGTTATAATTTCCCATATTTAAAACGTTAAAAAAAACCTCAATAATAATTTGTTTTTGATGAATGTTGCAGCTTGAGGAACAACCATTTGCAGACTCTGGGACTTACAAGTATGTTCAGTGAATACTAGCTCATAAAGTTTGACGCATTTGACATTACAATCTTACTATACAGCCCATTTAGTAGTTGATTTTGCCCATATTAAGTACATTTGAACAAGTTCCTTTTTTTTCATAAAGCACTTTAATTTATTTCCTTGAAGCCAAAATTAACAACTTGTCTTTAAATGTGCTAAGAAGACCATGTGTTATAATTAAAAGCTGCTGAGCATTTGCAGAGCTTAATGGATATGGGGTTCTTCTGTTTTTAAGGCCAAGAATAAAAGTCTGAGATATATTATAAAAATATTTGATTTATGTGCTTAGTGATGACTGTGGCTCAGTTGGTAGAATCGCCTCTCAACCAGAAGGTGGAGGGTTCGATCTCGAACTAAGCAACATGTCAGATGTGTCCTTGGGCAAGACACTTAACCCTGAATTGCTCCCGCTGCTTTGGTGATGGTGTATGAATGGATTAGTTACTTCTGATGGATGATACTACATAACGGCCACTGCCATCAGTGTGTGAATGTTTAGGTGTGACATGCAGTGTAAACGCACTTTGAGCAGTAAGAAGACTAGAAAAGCTATACAACCTCAATTCCATTTACCATTTAGCTTTTTATGTCATGCAAACAGTAACTTAAATTATTTGTTCAACAGTTCCAGCACTGCATATCTGCTCGTGTACAGAGGTAAGACAACACAGATATCATTGTTGACTAAAATGTTTTATGATGGTTAATTAATGCATTGTTTTCATCTTGTGACAAAAGAAAGGATGAAACAGGCATGTAGCCATGAGACAGGAAAAGAGGTTGGGAACAAGAGAGCTAACGTTTCAAGCCTCAATGAAGACTCAGTGAACAAAACAGAAGAAGATCCTCTCTTACCTCATGACTTAAAAACCAGCCCCTGGAGAAAACCACATCAGGACAACCTGAGGGAGGCAGAAGAGGGAATGCAACAAAGCAAAACACAAGAAGGTGAGGTGAGCATTTCCATACATTCTAGCAACTTTAACCAAATTAAAAAAATATATGTTTAACTTAAAGACAAAAAAGAATCAACTCATGATTACCCAGCTGACCTCTCCATCTAACTGATCACAAAAGGTGAACAATCAGAGTCAGAATCGTTTTTTTGTTGCCAAGTACATTTATACAGACAGGGAATTTGTCTCGGTGTTTTGGTGCAAAGCAGTTAACAAAGGAAATAAAGCAAGAAATAGCAATGTACTTAAACAATAAAATATAAGAAGCAATTTCAAATATATCAAATAGAATTTAAAATTGTAAAAATCTAAATAGCACAAAATGTACAGAAGGTGCAATGAAGGAGTTGTTTCAGTTGACAATGAAACAAAGGAATCTTACAGTGTATATAACAAGGGACTTAAATCAATATATTTGCACCCATACCCTTGTAATCGTTGTATCCTCTTACTCAATATAATTACACAATAAATGATCATGAACAATAGCCAAAAACATTGTTGACTAAAATGTTTTATGATGGTTAACCAATGCATTGTTTTCGTCTTGTTGAAAAGGCTCAGAGAGTTTCAGATACGAGGTGGAAGATCGACAGGATGAACAGAGTGGAGACCAACGGGAACTCCAAGGAAAATATGATGGAAAATACAGAGGTAAGACAACACAGATATCATTGTTGACTAAAATGTTTTATGATGGTTAATTAATGCATTGTTTTCATCTTGTTGAAAAGGCTCAGAGGGTTTCAGAGACAAGGTGGAACTCAAAAGAAAATATGGTAAAAATGACATTCATCATGACAAAGAACAGAGATCTCATAAATATAAACAAGAGTGTGAAGGACAGGAGACAGAAGAGAGGATGAAACAGGCATGTAGCCATAAGACAGGAAAAGAGGTTGGGAACAAGAGAGCTAACGTTTCAAGCCTCAATGAAGACTCAGTGAACAAAACAGAAGAAGATTCTCTCTTGCTTCGTATTCTAAAAACCAGCCCCTGGAGAAAACCACATCAGGACAACCTGAGAGAGGCAGAAGAGGGAATGCAACAAAGCAAAACACAAGAAGGTGAGATGAGCATTTTCATACATTCTAGCAACTTTAACCAAATTAAAAAAATATATGTTTAACTTAAAGACAAAAAAGAATCAACTCATGATTACCCAGCTGACCTCTCCATCTAACTGATCAGAAAAGGTGAACAATCAGAGTCAGAATCGTTTTTTTGTTGCCAAGTACATTTACACAGACAGGGAATTTGTCTCAGTGTTTTGGTGCAAAGCAGTTAACAAAGGAAATAAAGCAAGAAATAGCAATGTACCTAAACAATAAAATATAAGAAGCAATTTCAAATATATCAAATAGAATTTAAAATTGTAAAAATCTAAATAGCACAAAATGTACAGAAGGTGCAATGAAGGAGTTGTTTCAGTTGATAATGAAACAAAGGAATCTTACAGTGTATATAACAAGGGACTTAAATCAATATATTTGCGCCCATACCCTTGTAATCGTTGTATCCTCTTACTCAATATAATCACACAATAAATAATCATGAACAATAGCCAAAAACATTGTTGACTAAAATGTTTTATGATGGTTAACCAATGCATTGTTTTCGTCTTGTTGAAAAGGCTCAGAGAGTTTCAGATAGGAGGTGGAAGATCGACAGGATGAACAGAGTGGAGACCAACGGGAACTCCAAGGAAAATATGATAAAAATGAAAATTATCATGACAAAGAACAGAGATCTCATAAATATAAACAAGAGTGTCAAGGACAGGAGACAAAAAAGAGGATGAAACAGGCATCTAGCCATGAGACAGAAAAAGAGGTTGGGAACAAGAGAGTTAACGTTTCAAGCCTCAATGAAGACTCAATGAAGAAAACAGAAGAAGATTCTCTCTTGCTTCGTATTCTAAAAACCAGCCCCTGGAGAACACCACATCAGGACAACCTGAGGGAGGCAGAAGAGGGAATGCAACAAAACAAAACACAAGAAGGTGAGATGAGCATTTCCATACATTCTAGCAACTTTAACCAAATAAGAAAAATACATGTTTAACTTAAAGATAAAAAAGAATCAACTCATGATTACCCAGCTGACCTCTCCGTCTAACTGATTAGAAAAGGTGAACAATCAGTCAGAATCATTTTTTTGTTGCCAAGTACATTTACACAGACAGGGAATTTGTCTCGGTGTTTTGGTGCAAAGCAGTTAACAAAGGAAATAACGCAAGAAATAGCAATGTACTTAAACAATAAAATATAGAAGCAATTTCAAACATATCAAATAGAATTTAAAATTGTAAAAATCTAAAAAGCACAAAATGTACATAAGGTGCAATGAAGGAGTTGTTTCAGTTGACAATGAAACAAAGGAATCTTACAGTGTATATAACAAGGGACTTAAATCAATATATTTGCACCCATACCCTTGTAATCGTTGTATCCTCTTACTCAATATAATCACACAATAAATGATCATGAACAATAGCCAAAAACATAACCTACTACATACCGTAACCTTAAACCTTCAAAATGACACATTGATTCATTCATCATAGGTCAAATGTTTTGTCCGATGAAAATAATTTTTGTACTACTTTCCCTCCAGGATTCACAAGTTTAACCAACATCCTGAAGAAACCACTTTGCATTGCTCTCATTGTTTGTGGTTGTTTATTAATTGTGATACTTGCTGTTATCCTGTCGACTCTAAACTTATCTTGATGTAGAGAGTGGGCAGGACTTATGTCAGCGTTGAAGATGAATTCAGAAATGTCTACTTGCAAGTTTCTACCAAAGTGATGTTGAACTAAATTACATATTGTGTCATGATTTGGTTTTGTATCTGAGTTTCCCTGTTTTATCCCAGTGTTGCTTGTTTCCCTTGTGTGTTTATGTTCCCTAGTGTTGCTGGTTTTTCCCTTGTGTGTTTCCTAGTTTTGTCTTCAGTGTTTCCAGTGTTAATGTGTAATTTCAAATCCTTGTGTCCCTCTCGGTTCTAGTGTGTCTTGATGTTTAACAGTGTCTTCAGTGTTTCATGTATTTGTCATAGTTGTCCTCAGTGTTTCTTGTCCTGCCTCTGTGTGTTTCCCTCCAGTGTTAATTGCCCTGATTGTCTTCACCTGTGTCGTTAGTCTCACCTGTGTCTGATTACCCCTTGTCTTTTTAGTCTCAGTGTTTCTTCCCTTCTGTGTCAGTTCATTGTTGTTTGTATGTCGCTTTTTGTTGAACTTTTGAAAGTAAGTTTTTGTTGCCTTTGGCCTGTTTGTTTCATTAAATATTTTTGGTTATTCTGCACTTGGGTCCACCTCCCTTGTTTTCCAACCATTCGTGACATATTGAGTACAATTGCTTCTTTTTTTAATCATTATTTTGAATTTCCTTAGTTTTTTTTAAACAATTTTGATGACTAAGAGTCAAAAGTACATTTGCAGTTATTTGTGTATAGAATGAAACAAAAGATAGCAGTTTCCCATTCAATATTACTGAATAAAGATATGGATTTTAAAAGCAGTATATTTCTTTAAGCGAAGAAAACAACCTTCATTTATTGTAATAAATGTGCATAAAAAGCATTAAGGCCCTGAAATCATATATTCACCTTTCATAAATATGAACAAATGTTGCTCATGAGGCTAACAAAGGTATAGTGTCCTCTCAAAACTTGAGATGGTGTTGGTGGTGGAACAATGCACGTACAGGTGTTAAGTTCAGGTGAGGAGAAAACAAAGAGGACCCAGCACACAGCCCTGTGGGATGCCGTGTTCAGTGTGAGGGTGAACGAGGTCAACGTCTTTCACAGAAAATTGGTCACCCACCACAAAGGACCTTAAGTTTTATTTTTTACATTGCAGTGCTAGTGTTGATCTAGGAATCAAACTGCCATATTGACAGTGGATACTTACGAACATGTTTACCCAGGGTAACTAACTTTCTGATTTAGGACCATCACACCAATGTGGACCATGGATAAACGTTTCTTTAATCAAAAAAAGTGCTGCTTAATGAGAATTTTTTTAATTTGTTGTTCGTGTAGGCCATCATTTTCTATGTGTCCCTTTGTCCTTTTTATTTGTGAAGGAGGATTCAAACATAGTAGAAAACACATTAAAAGTTGGCAATCATGTATTCATTTGTCAAAAAGCAGGTGGAGCGCTCCATTGGTGCGGAACATTTTTACAAAATTAATGAAAAGAATGTATCCCTGCTGCTTTCCAGTGTTGGGATCAAACTTAAAAGTTATTGAAAAGGTCTGAGGCAGTCAAAGGGATAATTAAGAAAAACTTTATTTCATCAGGGCAATGTACTCATAAAAACATGCAGACATGTTTCAGCCAGGCCTTCATCAGAACAGGTACAAATGGCCTCCAAGCTACTTCCTTTAAAGATTTACAACCAGTCACATTATGACATACAGTATTATATATAATTGACTGAATTTACAACCACCTCAGACGACTATGACAACTACAGGAAAAGATAGAGGTCCATTTGACCACTTAGATCATGATGTTGCAGAGCTTTCAATGTGTTCATCCAAAAATACTCTCTTTGTAATCTGTCTCCACATCTAGTTGAGCTTGGTATGTGATCAACTCCTGATGTTTTAACTCTTTAAAAATATCAGGTATCTATCACATAGCCACCTCTCTGAGGGCAGCAGTAAAATAATACATTAATGTTTAAAAATTATTTTCATATAGCAACAAATACTTCAATATGTCTACAGTCATTTCTGTTACTGCTGCTTTTTACCCTCAGATAAAAGGATTCCACAATCCTGACCTTTTCCCCTCATTTCCTCTGCCACACAGGGATGGAGGTCTGTCTTGGGGCCACACCACTGGGACAGATTTTGTATGGAGAACTTGTTTTGTTACACTCAAGCTTTAGTTTCAGACAGACAAAACAGAACTCAATGTGACAGCGAGGGCAGGTGATGTTTTTGCAGTATTGTGAACTGTGTTCCACACTCAGGCCACATTTAGGACAGGCTCGCACTGACGGGCAATCAGTGACCCCCTCCACAGCAGGCAGACTGATGGTCTTACACGTCTGCAGAAGTTGAAGGTCCTTGTTGATGCAGCCGTCATTTTCGCAGCGGTCAGATCTGGGGCCTGAAACCTTCCACTCCCTCTGACACTGCCAGCAGAAATAGTATATCTTCTTCTGATCGGCTGTACAGATGGTGCAGTGCACACACAGGTTGGAGAGATCTGTCCTCTCCACATGTGTTCTGCACTTTGGGCACTGGTGAGGATAAAGACAAAACACAGAATACTTTTAAAACAGTGCACTTGAATTGAAAATTAGATTCTGAAATACTCCACAACAGGACGACTCACTGGCTTAATTTCAAAGAATTCTGCAGCAGCCAGACGGGCAATAGTCTCTTCAAAGTACTCCATTTCCTTAACAGTCAAAGCCGTCATTTTGCAAACCTCCTGGTACGACAACAGTTTATTGCACCGTTTGGTACCTTCCACCAATGGTGGAGAAAAATGCTAAGTGAAGAGTAAGGTATGCGATAATAATATGTTCATGTATCATGTTCAGAAAAGTTTTTAAAAATGTTTAGAAGGGGGTTTGCATGCCTTTATTTAGAGATTGGACAGTGGGTAGAGACAGAAATCGGGGAGAGAGAGAATGGGGAATGACATGTGGGATGGAGCCACAGGCCGGATTTGAACCTGGGCCACTCGCCCGGAGGACCAGAGCCTCAGTGCACGCACCAGCTGGTTCCCAAAGTGTGGGTCCAGGGGCCGTGAGATGCCTTCCAAAAACGTTGTATTCTTTTGTGTTAACAGTGTTTGTATATGAAAACGTGTGGAAATGCTCTACACCCAGAGGCCTCTGTCTCAACCACCTCTAGGGAGAGTGGGGGTCCCCAGTCTCTGGTATCCTTACTTTTGGGGGTCAAGACCTGAAAAGTTGGGGAACCCCCTGCACTAGGCTATTATAAACATTAACATTTTCGTAGAACATACATATGAAATTACAAAGACTATGAACACCAACAACTATATACATCTATCTTTTCTCTTTAAATTTAAACCAATACAAATATTAATAAAGATTTAAACAAACAAAAAATACAGCCATCAAATTAAAAATATGAGATACGTTTTGTCCCAAGCGCTCACATGTCTTTATTTGGTAAGACCACATGACATTTCCCAATGTTCACCCTTGCATGTTGGAGTTGTTGTTCATCCATGGCTAGGCACTGCTCATGGTACCATCTTTGGCATGTGTCACACTGTTTCTGTAAAATAAAATGTGCAAACCTTTATCAACTTGTCAGGAATAGAGAATCTTGTGGAATAGAGAAACATTTCTATAGGCAGGGCAATCTATACACATAATCCTCTTCTATTTAGGTTTGTATGTGGGAATTTGTGTCCACTACATTACTCTCTCTCAAAAGTTTGCAGCATGTTTGCAATACAATCCAACTCCTTATAATGTAATTGTATTATCTACTCAACAATTGAGCTCCTATCTCCCATGAGAAGACTTAATTGTAATATCATTATTGAGCATATGCATTTATTTTTTAATTTGTGGGGGCAATGATGAACAAGAGGTTGGTTTTTGAAAGAGTACAATCTCTGGTACATGACAGCTTCTTTTTCTTGATTTTGTAAAAATCCTTGTAATTTCAAGCATTCTTTTTTTCCATATGTGCCATAAACTTGCTTACTTTCTATATCTTTGAATTATTAAAAAATATTTTGTTAAAGTATCAAGGGGTTGAGGCTGGGTAGGAATTGAATTTCATTGTGTAGTAATCTGCAATGACAATAAAGGATCCATCCATCTATAACTAACAAAGACCTTGGCCCTCCAAATCCTTCATAAATACTGAACGAGAGGTCTTGATCCAGCAGATGTCGCCATTGAGCACCAGCATGAAACCAAAACAACTCGAGCTGCATTGTTGTGTTAGTATGCTAATGGTAGCGCTCTTTTGTTTGCTCATAGCTTCACACTGCATGTAAATTTACACAAAATGACCATGATCTAAAAACGCTTACGTGACATTCAAATAAGCAGTGAGAACAGTATGTTATTCTTCTTTTCTATAGTCCCTCACTTACAAACAACTTTCATATGCAAGGGGATGAGCCGGCTGGCTGGCCGTCCCGTCCATGTAAACACGATGTAGATATCCTCAGACAACATCACAGACGGGGGACTCGGGTGTCACACTCATTGTAGACAGTCAAGACTCACAGAGATATTTACAGAGGATATACTGGATTTCTGCTATATTTACAGTATTTGTAAAATGTCGCACATTCAGCCTTTGAGACCAAATTTTAATTTAGGAACATCTCTGTATAGAAGTGCTGCCGGTTTGTGCTAAAAGTACAGTTGAGCTCAATACATGACAGTAATGTGAAGGCTGAAACTGATTTGATGCGTTACATTAACGCTCACTGGACTTATATATTTTCTGTTTACATTGCACTCTGTTTTAGACTGCAAATCATGCACATATCTGCACAACTGCACAGCTCCTCAACATCCAAGTCAGAATAAAGGCTCATTATGGTGATTTATATGGAACTTTGACAGTGGATTTCTCAAAAAATACTCAGTAGAAGTACTCCATAGTACCAGTGCATGTAGTCTAAGAAGTATTAAGTATAGTCATATCAGAGTCATGGTGTACTTATAGAAGAATTTGTTTTTACAAGACGTCAAAGTCCGAAAAAAAGACTCGGTAATATGACACGTAAGGGACTTTGACAGTGGATTACTCAATAAGTACACAGTAAAAGTACTTCATAGTACCTGTGCGTGTAGTCTAAGAAGTACTTAGTCCAACCATATCAGAATCATTGTGTACTCATGGAGGAATTGTTTTTTACAAGACATCAAATTCATAAAAAAAAGACTCATTATAGTGATTTATTATGGACTTTGACAGTGGATTACTCAAGAAATACACAGTAAAAGTACTCAATAGTGCCAGTGCATGTAGTCTAAGAAGTACTTAGTCCAACCATATCAGAATCATTGTGTACTTATGGAAGAACATATTTTTTTCCCAGGAAAACTGTTTTTTTTATTTTATTGTGAACACCTTATTTTGAAAAACGGAAGTTAACGCAGACTCGCAGTATTATCCTCAAACTAATTTCACCGACCTCCGAAGCTATTCCCTGAACAGTATTTTGTTTGCTCCCGTTTCATACACGTGTATCTCATAGCCGGTTTTATGGTAAGACTTCGGCATTTATCACTTTTGCCTGGAAAAAGGAGATTAATAACGGACTCGCTCTCTCTGTCTGTTACACCTGCTCGCTCTGCAGTCTGGAGCATTTACCATAAAGATCAGAATACGTGAGCACTTCAAATTTAGGGTCGGCTCACTTCACCATGTAAAAGCGAGGAGCGGCTGGTTTGACCGCAGTTAAACGCACAGAGGGCTCCAGATGTAGAAATACTCTAAAGTCAAGTTTGCAGTCAAATAACAGTCACACTTTATCATCTCGTTTGGAAATACAGTAAAGTATTTTATAAATGTATTTGTTCAATCTTATATTCCTATGTTTACTGTCTATTCACAATTCCATACATGTGGTAAACCTACAATTCGTGCCTCAGGTGTGGTCGAGCCAACAGCAACTACAGAACTGAGACCTGTCTGGATGTGACAGTAAGTATCATTAAAACATGCAGCTGTTTCTGCTGATTGTCCCTGAACTACACTTAATGAAATGTGTTTTTCAACTCTGTCTACAGATCCCAGACGATCATCTTGCTGGATGTGATATTTACATTCATGCTGATTCACCTCACAGGACTGAGCTCCGTCCTGGAGGTGCAGGACTCGCTGACACGGACTTCCTGCTGTACCTTCACATGAAGTCCACTGACAAGTGCAGAGCAAAGGTACACACACGCTGAAAACTTTGAGATCTATCATATTGATTTGCCTAAATGGGTCTCATATTTACCAATGACTCTTATTTTTAATATGTCAAAACTTTATTTTTGGTGTATGTTGTAAAAACATCAGATTTCAGAAGTTTGATAGGTAAAGATTTAATTAGTACTGGTCTTGGGCGTCTGCTGTTTTGAAAAAAATCCTGAAAAATCCCTCAAGGTGGCAGCAGAGGACAATTTAAAAATCAAAGAAAGGAACAAAATAGACTGACTGACTTTTGAATCCTTAGATTGATCCACTTTATGTTTATATTAACACTTTTTACCAGAGGATATTTTGTTTGCCTTTTATATTTTCATCACATCTAAATTACTCATTAAATCGTTTTTTTGACCTCCAAAATATTTGTAACAGAATTTATTGACATATTCTCCATTTTAATGTCCTAAAGTTAAAGTTCCTCCAAGTATAGAAAAAAAATCAACAGTAGTTTGGATAATAATTCTCATTGTCACATTATTTCAAAAGGAAATGTTTAAGATTTAATTATGCAAATTTACCTATTTAGATAACAAAGTTGATCTTGCTGAATGGTTACTTTTGATATAGGTAACTTCATACACACTTTCTTATTTTGCAATTGAATTGACAATCATGAAAGATGAAGCTTTCCTTATCTGCTCATGCTTTCATTATACTCATCCTTGCGTCCTTTTGCCCCCTAAGCCTAATATTTTGGCCAACGCTGCTCACTGCCAGACAGATGCACTTGGACGACCTGTGGCCGGGGTGGTGGTCATCTGCAGGGAAAGACTGAAAGGAGAAACGTTTAGTCACCAGGCAGCTGTACAGGTATTATTTTAAATATGAAAAAAACAAAAATGTTCTCGGTAGTTTGAAATTGTGTGTTGAATCTTGTGTGTTCATGTTACAGACTGTGATCCATGAGCTGTTTCATGTGCTGGGTTTCTCTAAAGAGCTCTTCCACACCTGGCGAGACTGTTCCTCCATGTCTCAAGGTTTTTTTTTTAACACAATTTTTTTTATGTAATTATATAATACTTTGAGGTCAGCATGTGAAGTGGGCTTAAAAGTGCCCTTAACAACTCTGAAGTGCCTTTAAAAGTGTGCTCTTTATAGGGCATTCTGAAGTGGGCACACTTTTAAGGGCACTTAAAGTGTGCACTTCAAAATGTGCACTATTAAAAATGTCACTTTGAAGAGACCTTAAGTTTAAACTTTGAAGTTCCCTTAATAGTGTGCTCTCTTAAGTACTGTTTAATGTGTGGCAGTAAAGTGCCCTTACAATTGTGCAATTTGAATTTTAACGAAAAAGTGTGCACTTTTAATTTTGTTTAAAAGTTCCCTTAAAGTGTGCACTTAAGTGGGAACTCCAAAAATGTATAATAAGAAGTTTGGATTAAGATTGAACTTTTAAGAGCACTTAAAGTGTACACTTTGAAGGGCCCTTAAAAGTGAAAACTTTTAAATATACTTTAAATTGTTAACTTTGACATATACTTCAAAATGCCCACTTCAATTGATTTACTCAAAATGTGGCACTTTAGGTGTGAACTTTACAGTACACAAAACATTGGAATCTTTAAGTATACTTCAAAGTGTGCTTAGATATCCATGAGCTTCAATTCAAATCCTTTAGCAGAGCTGCAGAACCGCTCCAACTTAACCAGATTTGTCAAGAGGCCTCCCTTATATGATCTTCTACTTTGTTAATGCAGGGTGTACTTCCTGGCAAAGTGTCCTCACACTGGGAGTCCAGGATCTTTCAGGGCTCCATCATGGCAGCAGAGCTAGCGGACTCATCCTCAGTCTGGATCAACCCAGTAACCTTGGCTGCATTACAGGACACGGGCTGGTACAATGTAGACGTGAGCAGGGCACAGAGTCTGGTGTGGGGAGACGGTAAGTATAGAAAAAGAATAAATAAATAAATAAATAAATAAATAAATAAATAAATAAATAATATAATAATAAATAATAATAAAAAAAATATATATGATAAATGTTTGATTTGTAGGAGAAGGGGCCATGTTTGGATCCCTGTCAACCTGTCAGAACAAATCCTCATCGTTTTTCTGCTCTGGCAGGTATATTAAGTTATAATTGTTTACCTCTACAACATATAGTCTGGATAGGAATGTAAGCCACTTTTTAATTTAAAATGTTACATTTTCAGCACTAAATGTTTGCGTTTCTTCTTCTCAGTGGGTTTGGGTGTCATTACCTTCACCTCCACAAAGGGGAGTGCAAGACTGATCAATACCTGGAGGGATGCAGAGTGTATAAACCCCTCAAAAATGGAGTAAGAAGTATTTCCTGCTCTGTAGTAATTTCAAATGATGTAAAACAGCTTTGTGGGATCAATTCTATTTTTCATGCCAACGCTTTCAGTCTTTTTTTATGTTCATATGAGCGTCACGTTTACCCTCTCCACCTTCTCATATTAAGTCGATTATAAAGTCATTTTTTTCTTCACTTGTCTCTTGTTTAGAACCGGAGTCAGTTTCCTTCGTTCATCAGCACAGTGGAGGGGCGCTGTTACAGACACAGGTGTACTGGACCAAACAGGTACCAAATCCGCGTGTCAGGCTCTGAGTGGGTGGAGTGTCCAGCAGGGGGAAGCATTCAGGTAATGACATAAAAAAAATACAGAAACAGAACACAGTTTTAAAGTACTGGTGGTGTGGAGAAATACTTTTCATACTTCTACATTACTCCGACATATTTGAATGTTTAATTTCACAGTTGGAAAAATTATAATTGTAAACAAATCAGTATAACATAGTGCCAAGGGACTGCAGATGTAAACTAGCTCTAAGCTGACTCTGGTACAATGCATCAAATGGAAACATTTATGTTTAATATTGTACATGGTCCCTTTACAAATAAAAAGTTAAGAAAAGAAAGGGAATGACTTTCCTTAACGATAAACCTGGCTAAGACTTGATTGATTATTTACATTTAGACAAGATTTGGTGTGATTGACAAAACAGGTTACTCAATCTGAGTAATTCCCATATTTAAACACTGTGCACCATTAAAAACAGCAGCTGATTTATTGCCTTTCTAAAGTAATAGTATAATGTTTGTATGTAGTGAAGCATGTCTTGTGTTAAATGTGCAGTCTATTTAATGTAACCAGATGTAATCTAATATCTTTTGTGTTTTTTTACGGCCAGATTGAAGGATACCAGGGTTCAGTTTCCTGTCCTGACAGGAGGTTGTGTCTGTACTCTGACATCACTCCTCCTTCAGACGCCGTCGATACATTTCCTGCTTCCATCATCAGGTGATTGTGATTCTAAACAAGCAACAACACTCGCATTTTCTATCAACTTTGAGCTCGTTCTAACTTCACTGTATTTCTTTTTTGGTCAGAGATCCATATGGGACTTTAACTTCAGCCCAGACCTGGACCTCTTTGTCCTTCGGTGTCAAAACATCTCTCAGCATCACTGCTGCCGTGTGTCTCCTGGCTGCAGTCTTGGTGTCTTACAGAAAATGTTGCTCCTGCAGGATCAGGATCCACACCAGCACAGATGAACACAGTAATCTGTAGGAAACACAGCCTCTAAAACCGGCTTTATAAACTTTAATTGTTCAATAATTTTGTTTGTCTCTTCTTAGTAATTTATCTGAAGGCTGTGTTGTAAATGTAGAGTTATTCAGTCAGAGACAAAATGCCTTTTTATGACAATTTTTATTGAACAGAGTAATGTGAAAACATAAAGATAACCTGTTGTGGTCAAACGCAGCTCAAAAATATCAATCAGCTGGTTTCTCACCCTACATACATTATATTGATCAGAAATGATACCAAAAAAACATAATGAGGAAACATGGCCAAACCAAAAAACAGTATCTCTCTCTCTCTCTATATATATATATATATATATATATATATATGACCCTAACAGAAAAACTAAGATGAAAATTATAAATGAAGTGAAATTAAACTCAATTTGGAGCATAATATTATTCCCAATTCTAACACATGTACAGAGAAGTTTGGGTAGAATACAGACACCTTTTTGTGTTACCACCACTTAGCAAAATATTACAAGAAGTAGTAATCCCTGAGTTATAAACTGACATTGTGTAAAATAAACTGTATAATTATGGATGCTCAATGTGTCTTGAGAATCAAATAAATCACTAAGCCCTCCATTTTCTTAACTATCGCTCCAATTATTTCCATGATGGTGAAAGAGATAAAACTTGAAGTCAGTATGAAATATTTTAAAATAATGATTGCACTCAGTGAATGTCTTTCAAACCAGTTGTTGGCAGTTTTCAAGCTCCCCTTCTAATTTTAAAGCAGATCCCATATGGCTCCCTGAAAAAGTCCAAACAGTCCTCAAACACTGTCACCTTCACAAACTGGCTTGAGATCAGAATATACCAATAAATTCAGTCTTTACTGAATACTGTGTTGCTATTCATAAAAATATACATTTGGCTGAAAACTGCTGTTTAACCATAACTGATTATATTCTGTTGCATTTAATAATCTACATTACACATGGACATGTGTCACAGGCGGGGTAATTCACCATATTCCCATGATGTCATGCTCAGAGTGAGAAGCTTACCTTTTACTTGTGTGATCTAGATTGTAATTCATATAAATGCAGCAGAATGGCTTGTGATATGAAATGAGGCTCTTTATAGAGTTGAACTAGTTTGCTCTTTACACTGTTTGATTCTGCAGCTTTGCGAAAGAAACCCTGCTGGCATTTGATCAGGCTGCACCAAGTTTAACATTGACAGTTTTCCTACTTAAGGTACATGCTAAAGTGACAGTCTGCTACATTGCTGTAATACATCCCCCCACAAAAAAATAAACTACAGCATTGTTAATTCTTTCACACATCATCTTATTTCCTCTTCCATACTGGTATAGAGGTCTGTCTTGGGGCGACACCATCGTTGCAAGCTCTGAAATATGAATCACAGTCTGCAGAGAGCTTCAAGCACACAAAACAGAACTCCTCCTTACACCGGGGACATTTGATGTGATTGCATTTGTTTCCGTTTGCTCGATCAGAAACCCACAGGTGGGACAGGCACGGACAGAGGGACAGCCGGTCACCATCTTAACATCCTTGAAGTGATCTCGGGACACTTTCTCAGGATTTCCAGTGGCTGATTAACACATTCAGGTTTGCACAGTGTCGGCATGTTCAGATGGATGTGTCCATTTCTTCAAACACTGCCAGCAGAATTCGTAACCTTCTTTTTACGTGTGCACACTGTGCAGCAAACCCTCAGGTGTTCTGGTCCTCTCTCACCACTAAACTCTTGCAGCCGGGACACTGTTGAGTAAATTTGGTTGAAAAAAAAAAAAAAAAAAATCTTCAGTATGAATGCACAATATCTCTTAGAACCTGTGATTGGTAGATACTTACTTTTTTGGCACCCAAATTATCTTTGGCTAAATTGAACAGTCTTTTGTCAATGTTCTCTGTTTCTGCAGGAGTCAGCAGAGCCATTTTGCAAACCTCTTCAAATGACCACACAGCATCACAATTAGGTTGGCCACAAACAAACTCCATCTTACCCTTGAGAATTAAAGAGAAAATCAATCAAATGTACTTAATTGCCACTTTTGCTTACTTTTTTACCACCATGAATTAAGTGACAGATGAAGAGCTGAAAAGAAGTCCTTAATGTTATCAAATAATAGACATTTAAAATCCTCATGCCTTAAGAGACACGAAGTGGATTCAAACAAAAAATAAAAAGTAAATCTACTGCTCATAGTTCATAAGATCCATAGCTCTAGAACAAGCCTGACAATCAACCTAATAGTTGTTTTCCAGTTTTGGAAAATGTGGAGAAACATAACAAAATAATAGTTTTCTAATACCTGGTCCAGCTGCCAGAGACACCAGTCGATGAGAGACGTTGGAGTCACAGTATGACCACAGGACATCTTTGCTCTGAGAGACTTGTATTCATTGAGCTCAACTAGAGGAGAAAAAGAGCAACAGACAGTGGTAGTTAGTTTTGTATTTAAAGAATGACACCCAACAAGGTGTCAGGTCAGGTATCAGGAATTTATGGACGGAGAGGAGATCAGGACAGCTGTTTTTCAGAGTCTAAAGTCCCTTCATGAAGAACACCTTGAAGTGCATCATTTACCTTATACCACGGTCGATTGCTAAACAGGATAAGGCATACTGCTGCCTGTAGTTAACATTAACTCTGTTTTCCTGCTCACGCCTCAGGGTTTGACTTATTCCTGAAAAAAGGACATATCCCAAAATGTTCTGCTGCAATGAAAACATTAAACACTTCTTCTGTGAGTAGGCTATAGCAACAAAATACAAAAGGCTGTAGGCTGCTTTACAATTACAACTTTACAACTAGGCTATCGATTTTTCAGTAGCCTAATTAACTGAAAACCTCCAAATAACCTTAAAATATTAAGTATAGGCCAATTCACCTTATTATAGGCTATATGTTTAATAAAATTCAGATTAATTTGGGAGTTCTGTTCTCTTACAATCCATTTGATCTTCTCCATCGACGAATGTAAACCTTGTGTCATTTGGGTCGTAACACCTCTCCTCCTGTTCAGCTGTCAAAGTGCTTGGCCAATTTGGTCCAGTTTCCAAATTGTCCGATGAGTTACTTGGTTCAGCATCAAACGTTGATGGAGTTAATGTTGTCCTCACTCTAGGTCGTAGCGCCGTGTTCGCAGTTTGAGCATATACCCTGAGTGCAGCTGGGTTGCTTGATTCTGTCTCCGTTTCCAAAGGTCTTCTCATGGGAGCAGTTCCAAATGGTCTGGGCTGTGTTGGCTCCGTGGATCTTCGTTGACGTGGCGGATTGTTCCCCATCTCGACTCGGTCTGAACAACGGATGTGTAGCTCCAGTAGTTTATTCACCTGTCTAGAAGTCACATGATGTCCAATCAGCTCATAGGTGACGCATTTCAGATATCCTACACACCCTCGTTAACCTTTTAAATGCACTGGGATCGTTTGCACTTGGACACGTCTCTTGCAGTGCTCTGATCTGGCTTGGTTGCAAAATGGGGATCCAGGTGAATGTACACGGTCCCAGAGGAGAAGAAAAGATCATCGATCTGTGTGACAACATTGAGCAGATGAAGAACATCACTGTGGAGCAGCTTAAACGGAAAATCAGAAACGACCTCGGGATAAGTACGTCTCACTTCATTTTCAGTAGTAGTAGTAGTCCCCTATTTCTTAATTGTTATATGACTATTATAACATAGGCCTACCCACGCGGAAAAATACATTTGTTTTTCTGACAGATCAGAAAACATTTATCGTTTTATTAGCCTTAAACTTCTGAATGTGTTTATCTATAAAAGCCAGACCTGAGTTATTTTTATTTCTGCACAGAGGATGATGTCCGGATTGTGTTCCAAGCCGAAACCCTGGAGGAGTCAACTCTGGTGATGGCTTACGGGATCCGTCACCTTTCTACCATCCACACTCTTATACTTCTGCCCGGAGGAAACTGATGTGGAACCATTGACTGTGTATCAAAATAATATAAATGTGGAAAAGACAAAGAAGAAAAAAACACAAAGACTCTGAACTACACTGCTGTCATATGTTCCATATGAACTGCAGGAAAATAAATTGTTGAATTTCCCTTCTCTTAAAACCTCTTTGTTTTGAATTTGTCATAAAATCAATACTCTGAATATGTAGGCCTGTACATATCCTACGTTTCACAGCATTTGAATGTTACAGTCTAGATTAGGTCGAAGAACTTGGGCCCCTAAAAGTTGAGATACCCCTACCCGAGGTAGAACAAAGCGCAACCATATTTTTTCATAACTTGAACATGTCTAGTTTAAGAAACGGATGGTAGTATAAAAATATTTTACTGCAAAATAACTTTTTTTGGATGTTTTATACATCTTACCAAAAAACAAAAATCAAATTAGGTCAAATCAGGTCTTCCCCAAAGGGGACAGCTCTAGCCTTAGCACATGTATCTCTGGAATCAGAATAAGAATTTCACCAAATTTGGACAGGATGTTCACATATAGTTATTAGTTTCAATTGTGCAAAGTTTTTATCAATACCATTTTTAACTAGTGCAGCCAGGATTTCAGGGCGACCTGGTACAATGGGGCCCTATGGATGTGCATGTGGGAGGAGATGGCCACAAACAATAGATTAAGACTCAACAACAAGACACAATATAATTGTATTATGTATATATAATTAAACATTTTATAGTTATTCCTAATACATTTTGTCTCACATTTTCTATCTTACATATAATCTATATGATGACACTCAGAGTCAACCCGCTGCTTTCAACAATATTGTCACCTATGACATTGTTTCTATTTCATTCTAAAAAACTCAAAGCATTGTCTTGCCATTAGTTGTGAAATATTAATGAACTAAAAAACAGTATTGATATAAACTTGAGTTCTTAAAAATTAAATATACTTCATATAGTCTAATTGTATATCAGCCATACAGCCTGTTGTAGTTTTTTAATGTATTTCAGTCATATAAAGATGGCGTGTAGTCACCATATCTCCTGCTTTTATGAAGAACCCTAGTTACTTCAGAGGATACACCAAATGTAGGGATAGTTGTTATAATACCCTAAGTATGATAAAGTGTTTTAAAAAAAAAAGCTACAATAGCTATTTTTGTTGAATCATTTATCAGGCAACCAATGGAGCTGGGATACAAAACAATTCTTATGATGGCTTAAATGTGTGTGAGGTGAATTAGGATAACAATCATGCAAACATTTTTATAAGGAACTTCTTTATACACTTATTTTACCTCATTATATATAATGACATTTGATTTTAAATGCTAATTACAAAGGATGATTTCCACTTA